GTTATCGGCAAATTGACCTTTATATTCAAGCTTAGTTATCGGCGAGCCCGACCTAATTATTACAGCTTAGGTATCGGTAAGCCTGATCTTATTATTTAACCTTTGATATCGGCAAATTGACCTTTATATTCAAGCTTAGATATCGGCGAGTCCGACCTTATTATTCAAGCTAAGATATCGGCGAGCCCGACCTAATTATTCAAGCTTAGTTATCGGCGAGCCCGACCTAATTATTCAAGCTTAGTTATCGGCGAGCCCGACCTAATTATTCCAGCTTAGATATCGGTAAGCCTGATCTTATTATTTAACCTTTGATATCGGCAAATTGACCTTTATATTCAAGCTTAGATATCGGCGAGTCCGACCTTATTATTCAAGCTTAGATATCGGCGAGCCCGACCTTATTATTCAAGCTTAGTTGTCGGCGAGCCTGACCTAATTATTCATGCTTAGTTATCGGCGAGTCCGACCTTATTATTCAAGCTTAGTTATCGGCGAGCCTGACCTTTTTATTCAAGCTTAGATATCAGTAGACCTCAGTTTATTATTTAAACTTAGACATAGGCAAATTGACCTTTTTATTCAAGCTTAGATATCGGTAAGATTCAATGAGTTATTTAACCTTACAATTATATAGGCAAATTGACCTAATTATTCCAGCTTAGATATCGGTAAGCCTGATCTTATTATTTAACCTTAGATATCGGCAAATTGACCTTTTTATTCAAGCTTAGATATAGACGAGCACGACCTAAATATTCAAGCACAGTTATCGGCGAGTCCGACTTTATTATTAATCCTTAGATATCGGCAAAGTGACCTTATTATTCAAGCTTAGTTATCGGCGAGCCCGACCATTATTTAAACTTCAAAATCGGCGAGCCCGACCTTATTATTTAAACTTAGAAATCGGCGAGCCGAACTTTATTATTTAAACTTAGAAATCGGCGAGCCGAACTTTATTATTCTCTCAATTACTTACGGCTAAGACCAGCGCATTATCTTAATATTATCTCATGTATATCTTCTATACAGCCGCGAGTCTTGTTAATATTTTCCAAGTTGTCTATAGCTTTGATCGCTGAAGGGATCACACTACAAGGAATGACTATAGACTGAGCTCCAAATTGAGTTTACCTTGTTTAAGACTCCAAATATTGCACAGAAATTGCAGACAATACATTTTACAGGATTGGAAAGCTCCATATGTGTGAAAAGTCAGTATTTTTTATTATAACCTTCCTATTAGTAATTGTAACCATCAGAAGAACTATGTATAAGTACAAAAGTTCTTGTTTCTCAATCATCAGAATGAAATGGGGTTTTTTTGTGAATGTACATGTTTTATAATTGGCACGAATACAGAAGGGTTTAAACTAATTGTAACCAGCAAAGGGTAAGCTTCTGTAAAAAATCTATGGTCTTTCCAGACTTCAGTATAAATCTTGAACCTTTGTTTTCCAAGTCCTTATACACGACCTAATAGGATCTCTCAGTTTTACTTTCTACACAAACAATGTACGTACATTGTATTAAACATTACACGTATGCGACATGTTTACTACGTATATTGCGTGTGAAGAAAGTTAAACTTTGACATCACATCTTTCCAAACAGATGAATCTGATTTAAGATACCTAATATGATCGTTTTACTATTTCTGCCTCGCGCAGGTTGCACTGTCAGAGTGCAGACCCACTTCCGCTGTAAGTGTAGCTATCCTTTAGGTTCCCTATCGTTCGTGTATATGGCTCTTCCATCAATCAGGTTAACATCACATAGATCTGTTCGAGGGTGATATTTACAGTTAAATTAACGCTCCGGACACCGGTCAGCACTGGTTACTGTTCGGTACACATGTACAATGCGTGGGTGGACGGGACTTTATCAGAGGTTGACGTGTGAAGTGGTTTAATGGCCTTTTCTAAGTATGGTTCTCGTCCTAACGGTGACCGTCACTGTATATTAGCAGTGGTCTTTGACCTATGTATCTATTGTGTCGTTATGACTGTTTAATGTACGATCCGAATCCCTCTCGTGTGTCACATATCCGGGAGATTTGGTTAACTCGATCACCCATGAAATTACATAATGAAGTATTCCAACCTCTGATTTGGACGAATTAAAATGTGTCCTCAGGGGTAAATGAGCAAATGCTTATTGTGACGCAGCGGTTTTTCTTCAAAACTCAACCATTTTACATCGTATATGGTGTACAAGTGTGTGATGGTGAGTGTCAATGGCCACTCCAACCTAAGATTGCTTTGGTTTGGGTTCGTTTGTGTCCGACGTCCTATTAATAGCTTTGGTCATTTAAGGACGTGCCAGGTTTCAAACTAAGAACGCACAAACATGTATATATATGTCTGGCACAAAAAAAAACACGATTTGATGAATAAGTGATCCCCGTAGCAATGTCAAACCCGTTGATACGCATAGGAAACTGTTGGGCAGGATTTATATGTTGCCATAATAAACTATTTGTGAAAACAGACACCATACCTTGCGGGACTTCAAAGAAAAACGATGAAGGTTATATAAACAAAATGTAACCAACGACAGTAAATGTAAAATCCAGGTGGGAACTTCAACCATTGATTTCAGATTGTTATACACGCGCAATGTCCTGGTCAAACTATCTAAAAGACGAAATTAAGGGGAGTTAACTGTGTATACGAGTAAGAAAAAATGCGCAGTGAAGTGGGATGGGCAAACTTGGATTTTTTTAAAAACTTTTTCTTCAAATATAGTCAAATAAACGAATTAGGAGATAACTAGCTTTGTCTGAATTCAGCTATCAAGGCATGCGGGAAAGGAGAAGTTAACTAAGCATGATGTTTCGATATTACTATGACAAAACACATAGGAGGTTACCAGGAAATCAAATACTTTCACTTTAAAGTATATTTCTATAATGATTAATATTATCAATATGCAAAATGCTGACCTCTCTATTTATAATTATATTGATAACGCACAGTTTGTTTGATATATTAATTTATTTTATTTAAGAACGGCATGTTATAAAATAAAACTATGTGAAGTAAACTTCTTTTCGATTTATTATTCCTAAAAAAAAGGATATGTAACCCATGTAACCCTGTACCCCATGTGTACTAGGTTCACTGCACTAACACATCATCTATCACGTGCATAACATTGTCATTCTTACATAAGTAAATACATGTCAGTATGTACGTGCGTGCGTATGATTGGTTGAATGGGGTGAGGAGTATAAACGGAATGCACGGGCAGACCGGAGTCCTGTCACGTCCCAACCCAACTCTCTCCAGCCATTCCTCTTCAGGACTCGTAGGAGTCAACATCCATCCGTATCAGCCCTGGTAAGTCTGTCTGTAATGTTCACATTGTCATTGTACGTTTGTAATTTACCGTCTTGTATACTCGCGTCTTTGTATTCAATTCGATGTATGTAAGTTCAGGTCAATGTGTTATCAAATGTATCTATTGTATTCGTTTGTTAATATTACAGGTTTTTCCTACGGGAATAAACAAGATAAAACATCCAAGCCTGTCGTCTTATAATTTGAGGGGCAAGGGGCTACAAATGGCGCCCACGTAAATAAAACCAGGGCCAGCCGTCGAACCTGTGTGTATGGTTTTTCCGGAATTCCCTCCTACCCGCAAAGGTGAAGGTCACACCGGCGACTTCCGGTTCGCTAAGGAACCAGAGTAAGAGAACACTACCTACATGGGGAAATGATGGCGTGGAGGTGTTGATGGACCTGACCTGGGAAAAGGTTCGGCAGGTCAATCCTAAGGGTTTTTAAGGAGGAAAAGAGGACAGTTAAGATGGTGGACACGGGCGTGAACGCCAGTCGACTGACCTGGAGAACTCTTTATCATATGTGATTTCGTCTAAGTGTGAAAATTATGCCGAAACCAGTTTGGACACTGCCAAAAATTTGAATTTATTTATAAAAAAAAAAAAAATTGTTTTGAGCAACTTCAACATTTAGTACGTTATACATGTTTATTGTTTAATATTTATTCGTAATTTTTGTCTTACCAGGGATCATTAATCCTCGTTTCTGCATTCATCATCATCATCGTTGTCATAATCATCACCATCACCAGAATTACCATGAGTAGCAAAACCTTCCCATATCCCGTATCCCTTCCTGAGTGTCTCCCAAGCACATGAATGCAAGGTAAGTTCAAAGCATTTGCACTTTCAGAACCTAGTACACATGTGTTTAGTCATGAATATTTCTAAATGAGTGTAAGTAAGTTAACCAAATATATAGAAAAGCCTGTTACCCCACCCCATTTTCTGAATAAATATCCCATTCTTGTGACCAGTAGTAAAGGCTATTTTTTGAAACGAAATGAGGATATCATCAAAAATTTAGGTTATAATCTGGAATTTCAGTGTAGGGCAGGGGGTACTTTTGGTCAGGCACTGCATTGGCTCCAATGTTTTTTACCTGAGCGAGTGCGCAGACATAAAAATATTGTCTTATATGTTTGGTTGGGAACCTGCGATCTTACCACCAAGGTAGGAAGGTACATTAACCTAGCACATACCTCAGACTTAGAGTGTGAGGGGTATGTCAGGAGCAGTATAGACTCCATTGTTGTTTTTTTACAAAATTTTCCAACTGTCAAACTTACATTCCTGGAGATTCCCCCTTATAGTATAGGGATATGGAACAGATGCAAGGGACATAAAAACCCTGAGCAGTTTATTGAACAGGATGAGATATTGGTTGGTCGGATAGACTTCTTAAACTCCTACATCCGTCGGGTTAACGAGAAAGTAGGGGTCACCTCCTTAAGGTTTCACCTCGATGTATTGAGGTACTCAAGCCGTCGGCGCAATCGTACCGTCGCCTACGATCTATTTAAGGACGGGATCCATCCATCCGAGTTATTAGCTCGGTATTGGATGAAACGCCTGACGGAGAAGATTTTCTCCGATTGTATTTGATCTATCTATTTCAAGTAAAAAAAAAAAGAGAAATCCAGTTCGATCAAACATGGCTGAAAAAAATGCTCTAACTTCAGAGGATGGAGAATCCCAGTATAAATTACCCCCTCCTTTGAAGGATACAGAGGCGATAAGCAATTTAGGGATTGATCCTAAGGACCTAAAAAAAGAGGACGGGGAAGTCAAAGGTATGAGTGAGGAAGAGCTGATCAAATCTCTAAAAGCTATGGGGAACTATATTATTATCCCTAAGCAACGGGATGGCTCTCGTACTTCCCCCGCTGTTGCTCCTAAACCTAGGGTGAGTATACTCTCACCAGTGGAGGAGGACGCCTATACTAGGCCGAGAACTAGCTCAATCGCGGCAGGCGATCATAGTTTCTCGGAGGCCAGTTTTTACTCAAGGCCTCAACAAACCCCTAAACCACCTCTGTTTTCAGGTGAGAACCCTCCTTTGAAAGGGGATGTCCTGTACTCTGATTGGAGGTATGAGATTCGTTGTCTCATGTCAGACCAGGAATTATCCCAGAGTACGGTGGTTCAGGCAATACGCCGCTCATTGCGGGGTGTTGCCAGAAGGACATTGGTTCATTTGGGAGAGAAGGCCACTCCACAGGAGATTTTAACCAAGCTAGACGCTCTATTTGGAGATATAGCTACACATGGCATGATTATGCAAGAATTTTTTAACTCCAAACAAAAACCTGATGAGCCAGCTACCAATTTTGGTTGTAGATTAGAGCAAGTATTGCAAATCGCGATTGAGAATGGGTCATTACCAAAATCCGCCAAAAATGATCTTCTTAGGCATAAGTTTTGGACATCACTACACTCTGATAAATTAAAGAGTCAAACTCGTCACAAGTATGATACCCTGACTGATTACGATTCACTCTTACGAGAGATCAGGACAGTGGAGAGCGAGTTGGAATTGGCCAACAACACTACTCAAAAGAAAAAAGGTCAGCACCAAGCAGTTTCAGTCGAGGTTGATCAACTGAGCGTAGGTGACATCTCGAAAGACTTTGACAAAAAGTTGAAACTATTGGAGGAGAAGGTTGTCTCTCAGATTGACTCTAAGTTTGACAAAATACTTGAAAAACTAAACAGTCAAAAGTCATACCACAAAGGTCAAGGTCAAAGTCAGAGTAAGGGTCAAGGTCAGAGTAAAGGTCAAGGTCGTGGGCAAGGAAACTCTAAGTATCAAGGCCATGGATCTAAAAAAAATCAGAAAAGCCCAAAAGAATAACCGTCTCTGCTGTAGGCCAACCAGAGGCTGGTGAACAATCAAATGGCCAAGCGGATGTGTTGGATAGGCTATTAGGTGTTTCGAACGAAGGAATAGTCTACATTCAAGGTCAAAAAGTCAAAGGTCTTATAGACAGTGGGTCACAGGTATCCACTATAGCAGAGTCATTCTATGACAGGTTAGAAGATAAACCAGAGATGAATGATCTGAGTTTATTAGGTCTGGATATCACTGTGGCAAATGGGTCTGCTCTGAATTATTTAGGATTTATAGAGTGTGATGTCCAAATACCTTTTATGCGAGAAACAAACTTTAGTATATTGGCGATAGTTGTGCCGGATACGGATTACAACAAAAAGTGCCCTGTTTTGTTGGGTACAAATGTGATTAGGCTTGTAAAAGACTCATCAGAGGAGTTAGAAATGCCAGCCATGTGGAAAACCGCTGTAGATAGCATAACATGCACGTACGGTGTGCGGTCCATTAACCGTAAACCCTTCAAGGTTGCTCCGTACGAGTCTGCAGTAGTTAACGGTATGGTCAGAGGATTAGATCCCGAAATCGACAACATAGTAACAGAAAACAACTTCGACTATTCCAACCTAAAGTATACAGTTTGCCCACGGGTTCTCAAACTTAAAAATCATGTGTCAAGCGTGAAGATCCCGGTTAAAATCTGTAATATTACGGCTAAGCCTATCATTATATCACCGAGATCATTGCTTTGCTCAGTAAATCAGGTACAGGTCGTTGACAACTTGGCTTCAAACCTGCCAGCTACTGAGGCAACAAAATCAATTCCTGAAGAGCTTGGGATACAGATAAATACTGAGAACCTTAGTGATGAGCAACTACTTAGGGTGCGTCAGGTGCTAGGGAATTGGAAACATGCGTTTTCCACCAGCGCTTTTGATATAGGATGCACGGACCTCGTGAAGCACACAATTGAGCTTTTAGAAGACCGGCCTTTTAAACAGCCGTATCGTAAGGTACCACCCGGTATATACGAAGAGGTCCGTCAGCACGTAAAGGAAATGTTAGAAGCGGGTGTGATAAGGGAATCAAACAGTCCTTTTTCATCGAACGTTGTGCTGGTTCGAAAAAAAGACGGTTCATTACGATTCTGCATAGATTATCGCATGCTTAATAAGCGAACCCGTAAAGATGCGTATATGTTGCCACGTTTCGATGACACAGTAGACACATTGATTGGGTCAAAATACTTTTCTAAGTTGGACCTTCGATCAGGATACTGGCAGATCGAGATGGACGAAGCAGACAAAGAAAAAACAGCCTTTTCTGTTGGTAACCTGGGTTTCTGGGAGACTAACAGAATGGGGTTTGGTCTTTGTAATGCTGGTGCTACTTTTCAGAGAATGATGGAAAAGTGTATGGGTGACATGCATCTGAGAGAATGTCTCATTTTCCTTGATGATATCCTTATCTTCTCTCGTACTTTTGACGAGCACTTGACTAGGTTGGAATCGGTTTTTGCCAGACTAAGCCAACATGGCCTGAAATTAAAACCTTCCAAATGTGAGCTTTTTAAGAAATCTGTGACATATTTGGGGCATGTCGTGTCTGAAGACGGTATAGCTACGGACCCTGAAAAGGTGTCTGCCGTTAAAGATTGGCCACGACCACAGAATGTAAAGGAGCTTCGTCAGTTTCTAGGATTCAGTGGGTACTACAGGCGTTTTATCAAAGATTACGCTGCAATAGCACAACCCCTGAATCAACTCTTGCAAGGTCATGATCTGCATAAGAAATCTAAGGTCAAACCGAAGGTTAAATCTAAGAAAAAACCTAAGGCAAAGGCTGAATGGGTCTGGGAAGAGTCCCAGCAGGTCGCCTTTCAGACCTTGAAGGAGAGACTGATGAATCCCCCAGTTCTGGCATATGCTGATTTCACTAAGCCATTCATCCTCCATACTGATGCCAGCGGCCTAGGACTAGGCGCTGTGCTTTATCAGAAACATGAAGATGGCGAGAAAGTGATTGCATATGCTAGTCGTGGGCTACGACCAAGTGAGCGGAATTATCCGGCACATAAGATGGAATTCCTTGCACTTAAGTGGGCAGTTACGGACAAACTTCATGACTACCTCTATGGTAATTCATTTGAAGTGGTGACCGACAACAATCCTCTTACTTATGTGCTTGGAAAAGCCAAGCTGGATGCCACCGGCCACAGGTGGGTTGCTGCTCTTGCAAATTATGATTTCACCTTGTCGTATCGTGCTGGGAAAAATAACGCTGACGCGGACGGTCTCTCACGCATATCCCAGGTTAGTACTGACGTTGTCAAGGCTATATGCCAATCAGCAGTCATTGTCGCCCCACTAGCGGAAAGTGTGTCTGACGATTCTGTGCCTTATCTGGCCAGTGAGAGTGCAGAGTCAACGGATAAACTTGCGACTATTGACTGGGTGAAACAGCAGCGTCAGGACTCGGATATTGCGCGGGTTTCACACCTGAAGAGAACCGGTTTTAATCCCAGGGGGAAACGGCTCAAGGATGAAACTCGATATGTCCAGAAAATGCTTAGAACTTGGAATACCTTGAGTTTACACGACGGTGTCCTGTTAAGAACCGCTTCTCTTGACGGTCAGAAAATCAAACAGCTTGTCCTTCCAAAGCAGTACCATTCCCTCGCCCTGAGGGGTATCCACGATGATGTTGGTCACCAGGGAAAGGAGAAAACACTTTGGTTGGCTAGGCAGCGTTTCTACTGGCCAGGTATGGAGAAAGATGTAAACGAAAAGGTTGAGACCTGCGGTCGCTGCATAAGAAGGAAATCTCCTATCAAACCTACCGCTGGTTTAGTACCCATACAGACGACTAGACCGATGGAGTTGGTGTGTATCGACTTTCTCGGTCTAGAAAGGTCGTCTGACGGATTTGAAAACATTCTAGTGATAACCGATCACTTTACCAGGTATGCCCAAGCTGTGCCTTGTAAGAGTCAAAAGGCGTACACTACAGCCAAAGCTCTCTATGAGAAATTTATAGTGTATTACAGTTTTCCTGAAAGGCTACATAGTGATCAGGGCCGTAACTTTGAGAGTGGTGTCATTAAACAACTCTGTAAGGTGGCCGGGGTTAGGAAATCTAGAACCACTCCATATCATCCGATGGGAAACGGGTCAGCGGAAAGGTTCAATAAAACACTCATTGGTATGCTAGCCACACTTGATGAGTCCAAGAAAAAGGATTGGAGATCTTATGTCGCACCAATGGTCCAGGCCTATAATGCAACCAGGAGTGATGCCACGGGGTACTCTCCCCATTTCCTCATGTTTGGATGGCACCCCCGGTTGTCAGTGGACGCGTTCTTGGGTACTGACCCTGGACAGCAGGGTACAGTAGATCCCTCCTCCTATGTCAGCAAACTTAAGACTAGGATGGAGGTGGCGTATAAGGCAGCTCGAAATGAAGCTAAGAAGAAATCCGAACAGAACAAAACCCGGTATGACCGGAAGGTTCGGGATTCAAAGCTTGAGGTTGGAGACCGTATCCTTGTAAGAAAGGTAGGGCTCAAGGGTAAAAACAAGTTGGCCGATAGGTGGGAACAGGAACCCTGTGTGGTGATTAACATCCCCAACAGTGATATTCCTGTGTATGAAGTTGCACATGATGGTGCAAGGGGACGAAAACGTACCCTGCATAGAAACATGTTGCTTCCTTTCAACTCCATTCCGGTGGAGGTTCCCCCTACAGCGTCTGACCGCAAGGACAGACGTGAGAAACGGACAGTTTGTGTCGCTCAGACAGACTCTGAAACCTCATCTTCATCTTCAGACTCCAGCATGGAGACTAAGTTATCACCCCCTTATAACCCGAGGCGTTCCACGCGACGCAGGACGAAAAGAATAACCCCTGCACATGAGACACCGTTAACTCGATACGAACCAAATACCATTATCACTGAGAGTGAGCTGGGTCAAAGTTCTGACTTAGTTGAGTTACTGGAGTCTACAGGTGACTCCAGTGTGCATGAGCCTGAGTCAGGGCTTCATAATTCTATGCGAGAGCGGGAGTCTGTGCCAAGCCTTGATTTGAGCTCACCTAGCTCTCATCAGACGGATCCAGGTGGTCCTGAGGTTCAAGAACCTAGACGTACAGGACGTGTACGTAAACCACCTGATCTGTATGGGCATTGGGTTTTTCTCCTGCAAAGTCATTCAAAAGTCTGATGTAAACCTGTCAACAAGAAGTTGTATCAACACCGAACACTAGTTTTTTAAAATCCATGTCATTGTTTTTAACATATGTCGAGGTGATTCCTTGAGGTATTTTAAAGTATTTTTAACGTGATCTGTGATGGTCTATAGCCTTGATGGTATGGATAGGCCAAACCTCAGGGACGACCTAAACAGGTGACTAGCAATTTCATTACAAGTATAGTTATTAATATAATGTTTTATACATATCATCCAGTATTGTTTTACCATCATATCATCAATGTGTTTGGATCAACGTGCTGGATTGGTATGGATTGGCCAAACCATTCAGTTCGTTGATCAGAAAACCCATTGCTTGCAGAAGCATGTATCATCATTATCTACATTGAATGGATCGGGTGTCGAGGATGTCTATTTGGACCAACCCTTATGCAGCGTTATGTGACAATGTGCAAATAGTTGTCAAGATCCTGCAGGTGTCCTATATATAGTTATAGTGAATTTGTATTCACTGGTGTGGATAGATCACCTGTAAAGGTGACCTACATTATACAAGATAATATATGCATATAAGCATATTCTTTACCATAATTGCGGAAGATCTTTGTTAATAAATCTACTCGTTTTTTGGTACATTCTATATCTGTATAGTCCATACATCATAATTCTGGTCGTGTTATTACTGTTTAATGAAACCTTGTGGGTAGCGAGGCAACAGGTTTTATGACAGTGATAATGTGTTATTGTTACTAGTGCAATAAGTTTTCATATAATCAATAACCTATGTAATAAATGTTAATATGATTTTATGTAGCGCCAGGAGGCTTTCATCAAACCGGGGGAGTGTGTAACCCATGTAACCCTGTACCCCATGTGTACTAGGTTCACTGC